TACACATAAAACACAAAATAACTTTTTGGGGATGGGGAAGGAGATGGAAATTGAGTATGAGGAAATAAGAGAATATATAAATAGAGGCAGACAAGGACCTTACATGAACCAGTGATGATAAAAGGACCATGGGCCAGGCACAGTGGCTTATGACTGTAATCTCAGCAACTCGGGAGGCTGAGGCAGGAAGACTGCTTGAGCTTAGGAGTTGATGACCAGCCTGAGCAACATAGCGAGACCTCCTCTCTACAAAAAATAAAAAACATCAGCCAGGCGTGGTGGCACTTGCCTGCTGTCCCAGCTACTCAAGAGGCTGAGGTAGGAGGATCACTTGAGCCTGGGAGTTTGAGGCTGCAGTGAGTTATGATTTTAACACTGCACCCCAGTCTGGGGGACAGAGCAAGACCCTGTCTCACCAAAAAAAAAAAAAAAAAAGCGGGGGGTGGCGTTCTTCAACTGAACTGAGGAGTGATTAATTTAAATTAACCCTTTGACCTAAGGATCTCCAGCCCTCTCCACACTGAAATAGAAAAATAATAAAGAAAACACTAGGAATAAACAAATGAGAAGCTTACCCAGGACTTGGTGATTTGGGGCTGCTCTTGGGAAATAAATAGACACTCTAGAACTTTCTCTGTCCTGTGACTCTTCTGCTTCTGCCCAGGTGTTCCAGGGAGACGTTGCAGATTAGGAGTCCCTTGGCCCAAGATGGATTCCTGATCTTGGAGCTTTCTGATCCTATCCCATGAACTGTTTCGTTCTTGGAGAGGTGGGACCTGTGGACTCAAAAGCAAATTTCCTTTAGCCAGTGTAATTTCCTTTGGATCCCAATCTTGGTCTTCTTAGGCTGGTGAATCATGCTCACACAGAGGCTGGACTGCATGTTCTGTAGACTGTGCACAGTGCCACTACAGGGCAAAGGTGAGACAAAATGCACACGGGGAATCCAATTCCACCCACAGATTCTGCACAGGCCCCCAGACCCCTGAAGGTGCAGTGACCACACCTGAGATTCACTAAATATTTACACAACTTCTGGGCAGCCACTTAAATGAGAAAATGATGGTAAGTGCTAGGGAGTAAACAAGTCCCAGTTTTAGGTGACTATACTTCAGTATGAGATTTCTGAATGAAACAGCATTTCAATCCAAGTTTCTCTCTCATCACCTAGATATCTGTGAATAACTCACTTCACCTCTCTGAGTCTTGCTTACTCCTAATCAAAACAAAAGATACTTAACAAAACAGTAAAAGAATTTTTTAAAACCATGATATTAATAATATAAAAACAAAAACAAACTAGGTAACAGGGTTGCACGATATGGTCAGATGTGACCAACTGCAAAAGTAGTAAAGGAGTGGGAGCTGAGGGGAGATTCTGACGGGTCACTTTGCTGTAAGATCTCCAAAGTCACCAATAAACACATATCCCTAGGAGGAGAGTACCCTCCTCCTGGTGGAATCTAAGCAATCAAGAAACATTTTTCTTTTTTTGGAGACAGGGTCTCAGTCTGTCACCCAGGCTGAGTGGTGATCACAGCTTACTGCAGCCTCGACCACCCACACTCAAGTGATCCTTCTACCTCAGCCTCCTGAGTAGCTGGGACTACAGGTGAGCAACACCATGCCTAGCTCATTTTTGGTAGAGATGGAGTCTTGCTATGTTGCCCAGGCTATTCTTGAACTCCTGGCCTCAGGTGATCCCACCACCTTAGCCTCCCAAAGTACTGGGGTTACAGGCATGAGCCAGCACTGAGCAAGCAAGAAACAACAGGCTGAATTCCTCTCAGCATCAGAGCTGCAGATGGCTGTAAAAAAATATTCCTAAAGTCACTAAGTGACCAAACAGTGCTGTGGCCATCTAAAGAAAATCTGAGAACTAATGGGCATATAGTTCCTTCCAGAAGCACAGATTCTTACTCTGAGGGAAAGCTGTCAGAGACACAGACCAAATTGAACAGCAACAGAAGACAGAAAAAAGACTCAGGCAGAGAGAGGGAACTCACAGTGAGAGGAAGAGGAGAGAGAAAGGCCAGACAGAAGAAAACAGAGAAGGCTGTGAGTAAGAGGGAGGCAAGAGAGAAGGTTTAGACAGTAAGAGGGAAGGATTCAGAGAAAGCTTATTACAAAAATTATTTAACAACAAAATACATCATGCTGGGCATGGAAGGTCATGCCTGTAATCCCAGCATTTTGAGAGGCTGAGGTGGGGGGATCACCTGAGGTCAGGAGTTCCAGACCAGCCTGGCCAATATGTGAAACCCCATCTCTACTAAAACTACAAAAACTAGCCAGGTGTGGTGGCACACCTGTAATCCCAGTTACTAGGGAGGCTGAGGTGCGAGAATCACTTGAACCTGGAAAGTGGAGGTTGCTGTGAGCCAAGATCACACCACTGCACTGCAGCCTGGGTGATAGAGTCAGATGACATCACAAACACAACAACAAAAACCAAATATATCACATACATGTGAGAGAAACACATTAGAAAAGAAGGCACGTTTAACTTCAGGAAATGCAAGGTAAGAAGCAGAAAAAAAATGGCTTCCTGACAAGGCTTAGCACCAAGAGTTCAGGTCATGTTTTGGCCCTTCATGATAAAAACAGAGGCAGAGCCCTCAAACAGCGAAGCTCCAGAAAGATGTCCTGGCTTGTCCTGACTCGTCCTAGCCTCCAAACAGGGACTTCCTGCCACAAAGCAAACGGCGTCTTAATAGGCCGGTTTGGGAGGGCAGCAGGCTTACCCACACTACATTATTATGAAGGAAAAAGAACCAAATGGGGCTCCGACAGACAATAAAAGCATATCCAAAATATCTGACCACACAAAAACTGTAACGTCATATTTTAAAATACAGTAAAAGAAATTAGAAAACAAAATTTCGAAAGGATATATAAAAAATAAAAGAGCCTAGAAAGTAGATGCTTAGACAACTGAAAAATGTGAACTGAAAAATATTGGGACAAATAAATTAGGAAAAAAAAATTCAGAAATGAAAATTACATGAGGAGGAACACAAAAAAGCACCAAGGACCTAGGCAGCCCAGGTAAAAAGTGGGAAAAGCCTAAAAGAAAATGGAATAAGGCCGGGCGCGGTGGCTCACGCCTGTAATCCCAGCATTTTGGGAGGCCGAGGCGGGTGGATCACAAGGTCAAGAGATCGAGACCATCCTGGTCAACATGGTGAAACCCCGTCTCTACTAAAAATACAAAAAATCAGCTGGGCATGGTGGCGCGTGCCTGTAATCCCAGCTACTCAGGAGG